TATTTTTTTTGAGATGATGAAGGACTGGTAGCTGAATTTTGCCCACCTTTGCTTCTTAAAAGTTATTCTCATCCAAAGTTGACTAGCTTTAGCCTTGCATAGGTCTAATTAACATCTTAACCGGACTCGAATCCAGATAGTGCAACGTATAGTCTCTACGCGTTAACCACAGTCACGAGTGCCTATTGTCACAGTGAATTTCGCGAAGGCCATATCGCTTTCTGTACTAGGATAATCGATGAAGCAAAATTGCATCTACTATAGTAATAGATTACGTTACTTCCCTTTAGTTTATAAATGGGCTTTCGACACTACCAATCATATCAGAGCTATGAGTGCTGATGAGACAGACCTAGGCGAGGTCAAAACTGCAGTCCATCCTGCCTTTTGGTAAGCAAGACCTCGTGAAATTCAATCAAAACATGAGACATCATTAAGGAAAAATTCAACTGGCAGTCCCTCCTTATCGTCTTAAACGAAACGGTGAATACAGATCATAGTAATCTAGCTTCTATCTTACGATCTGCACTCATCTAGCTTTCGATTTCCCTTGCATCCTCATTCCTCTATGAATCCGGACCTATCTAACAGGAACCCACCTTAGGCATCGTGCTCGAATGTAACCATGACTTTACCCCGAATTTCGTACGTTAAAGATGGTGGAAGGGTTCCGTAACTTGGCCTTATCGGGAACTGATGATGGCTTCGTTTGCGTGCGTCGTCTGCTCGCCGGTCATGAAGTATGAGTGCTCTAACACGATTTGAGACTAATCATGCTTTCTCTTTCCCTGGTGTACTTATGGTCCTCCCCCTAACCCATGGGGATTTTGATCCTGCTTTTTTATTTCTTTTTGCTACACAAACATATTTACTTCTTGTATCCTGAGGCATACCCGTCTCATTGTGATGAGTTTCAGTCATCAAGCTACCTGAAGTGGCTTGGAATGACTTAATTCCTATATGTTCTAAGTATTTCAGGCTATTTAAGCGGAGCCGTAGGAACAGCCGAATAGTCGTCTAGCTTGTCGGTTAGAATGGACATAAACTAGGCTAGCAGTCGTTCCCTCAAAACTACATGCCCGGCCAACATTCAACTATCATTCCTTGCATTCGCACAAAATGCTTAGGGTGACTTGCTGATTTGACTACTTGACCTAAGAAGACTGACATCCGAATGATCTTACCCTGGCTGGCTGATAACCGTTGTGGTCTGGCTGTCTCTGTTCACAAGCCACGCTAGATCACAGGGCCTGCAGTTGAATTTTCCCACAATAATACGAGCAGGCCTTAAGACATTAAATTTCACTTAGCCCTGTCTCCCTCCCTCATACATGATGGATTGTAGCTTCGACCTCGCATGGGTCTCAGCATCCAAAACGGAAATCGGAACGACCCTTTGCGCGTGAAGTGGTCGCCTGGTTTGTTTATGCTTTTTTCCACTGAGATGCTGGATATCATTTCGTGGCAATCAATGTAAAGTAGGGTTAGATATGGGAAATTTCCAGTATATATGACAATATTTGTAAATACTCCAAGCAGATTTTCATCCGGCAAAGTGTAAGAGTATGTATGAATTGCTTTATTTTCCATAAATAGTTTTCAGGTATGTAAGTAATTTCTGAGTTAAAACTTAGCCCGGGTGGCTTGGGGTGATTTGCAATGTGATTATACCTCAGGGTGTCATTGAATAGGAAGTCAAGATTTCCCAAGGTATAGCATGTAGGGGAAGCATAAAATATCCAACCAAATGCCTCACTACGATCGCAAAATTTGGTACGAAAAGCTGACAACCCTTTCCTGGTATATTGGTGTGTTTTTTCGTAAATAAAGGTTTCTTTGAAGACCTCCGAGGAAGGCACTGACTCGTCTCGGTAGCAGGATGGTGAACCAAGGACTTCATCGTAAAATTCGGCGGCCCTCCTTCAATTTAAGAGAGATCAATGCACGAACCCCTTGTAACAGAATTTCCCCTTAAAATGAAAAGTCGATTTACACTAAGCCAAATAGCGAGCCTTCACTACACCGTACGAAATAAAAGTCGATTCAATAATATCTTATGCAATGAAGCAAAAATTAATTAAGAAGATTTTTGTGGAAAAATTAAACCATACGTATTGAGCAACAAAGTAAAGGTCGGGACTAGTATTCACACAGTTGGGACGTTGAAATACAGGCCGCACCGAATTACTTCAGTTGCTTTCGGACGATCAAAAATTATGCAAGAGCTTATTTTCAAAAGTTCATCGAAGTTAGAGAAGTGCAGATGAATTTATGTACAAAAATGGGCAAGAAGAGAATGAAAGCACATAAGGTCAATATAAAAGAATGATTGAAACAAAAACATGTTCAGTTAAGTATACTTTTGAGGCAACTGGTTTTCCTGAATCGAAAAGTTGGAAAGAATCGAACTAGTGAAGAACGTGTGCAGAAAAATAAAATCAAACAGCAAACACGAACCATAAATGAATGAAACCAGGCCCACGTAACTTTCACGCTTGCTAAAAGAATAGAGGATAAAGTGGAATGATTGATTAGTTGGAATCTTCTAAAGTTTGGGGTAATTGACTCAATGTCCTAAGATTTGTCCCTTACACAGTCTGTCCGCCTTGAATAAGGTAGGAGAGTGGGGAGTGAATGATCGAGGTGGGGTATTTACAAAATGCATCCGCCATAGATCTATCGTGCTGACCAAATATTTCACTAAAATAATGTATTACGTGCAGTAGGTCTCGAAAACCTACTTATAAACGAAACATTTTATTACATCAAAGGCAAAGATAAAAAACGCAATTTCGTACACCCCATTAAAAAAACAGAATAAGCAATCACCAAAATGGTTCAGGCATACAAGAAAGGCAGTGGTGGCAATTTATGCGTTGTGCAGTGACGACCTGATCGGGAAGGGCAGAGCTGACTTGCAAAGAGTTGATCCAGCTGAACCTGGTGCTGTGGCAACAACTGGCGCACCCCAGCCTCGAGAAGGGCGTGCACTAGACGCCTGTTTAAGCACTGCTCCTGTAACAAACCGAAGACGCGCCTGACGCCACGACGTGTGGTTTCGCTGCCCAAAAACTGGGACAATTCATCTGATATAAATAAAGTAAGTAGGTTTTCGAGAATAACATATATAAAATAAGTAGGCAAAAGTTGCCATTAAACAGATTAAACAGAGCAAAAAGCGCCCACACGTAGTTATTAATAATGAACAAGAAGCGAAACAAAAAAATGAATTAGAAATCTATTCACCCTTGTTTTGAGGTATTCAATACCAAGTAAAGGCAAAACATAGAGGATCAGTCGTATTTGGGCATTGCCTGATAACGTTGTGTTTTAAATGTTTCAGTAGGTTATTCACTTTTTGTGGTGTGTATTTCCTGATTGCTAGGAGTTAGATGGGCATAAATCCAAGCCTACTTTTACTAGTCTAATACTCAATATTTTCGTATTAGAGTAGTTTCGAGACTACCAGTAAATCAGTAATATGAGATGTATTCACCCTAGTTCGTCTAAGGTGATAAAGGACTGGTAGTATAATTTTCCCACAATGATATTAGTTGAGCTGACGTTTCCATTGAATTTCACATAGTCTTGCTTTCTCAAGAGTTGTTCTCATCCAGGGTCGACTGCAGTTTCGACCTCGCATCGGTCTTATCAACACCCTCAACTGGATTCGAACCGCGACAGTGCAGAA